TCTGGAGAAGGACGCCACTAAATGGTCCGAAGAGAAGCTAAAAAAGAAGGTGGAGGTAGACTAAGAAGCTTATAATTCAATCATCATGAACTTATCTGACAACATACTGCAAAAGGTAGATGGTGTGGAATCTCCAATTGCTTTGTAAACTCAAATCTTTATATGCTCTTCAGTCGGATCCTAATTTAGCTTTTTTAAAAAGTGCCCTATTTTCCTATAAAATGGATTTAGCTAGGTCTTTAGATGAAAACTTAGATGAGTTTCTAAAGATGACCCTAAAACTGAAAGGTACTGACCAAGAACCAGGAGACTTTAGTCTTGCTATGATTATGTTAAATTCTTGGCATGAGGAGTATTTAGTAGTAAAGAATATGTTACAATATAGTGGGACTATCCCTAGCGTGGACTTGGTAGTTTCTGGGTTAAAATCTCAGGAACTAGAACTGAAAATCCAAAAAAGGAATGGTAATAATCTATTTGTAAAAGGTAGGATAGATTCTAGTCAGTTTGGTAAGGAAGCTGGAAAAAGTTCCCAAAACAATTTAGGCTCTAAAACCAGCAAGAAAGGTAAATAAAATGGGAAACCTAAGGGAAAAACTAGGAAGTGCTTCTTTTGTAACAAACCAGGACATCTTAAAAAGAATTGTTATGAATGATTAAAAAACAAAATCAAGTCAGTACTAAGAGTAACCTTGCATGTACAAACAATAACATTGAAATCTCTGAAACATTTAATGTCTCTAATACTGCTAGTGTTAAAAAGTGGTGTTAGATTTCAGATGTACTTTCCACATGAGTCCAAACAAAGACTGGTTCAAAAGACTTAAAATTGGTGAACAAGAAGCAGTGTTCATGGGAAATAACATTCCTATGAGGTCCAAGGCATAGGTGATTTAACCATTCGACTAAATGATGGTAAGGTGGTATTGCTAACGAGGGTTAGGTATATGCTTGAGCTCAAGCAAAACTTGATCTCATTAGGAACATTTGATGAAGCTGATTGTTGCTATATAGCCTAGAATGGGTGTATAGAAGTGTATAAAAATGGTAATATTTTGCTTAAAGGTGTTAAAAAGAATGGCTTGTATATTTTGTGTGGTCAATATTACCTTGATGCTTTTAATATTGCACTTCTATCCACTAACATGTCTGCTGTAGAAATGGCACTTGAGAATGAGCCATATAGGCTAGAATGGTAAGAATGCACTTAGACAGTAGGGTTATTTTGGTAATGATTCAGTATCTGATTTAAGTTTCTGTGAAACCTGTGTCTTGGGTAAGCAACACATGATGAGTTTCCCAAAAAGATCTCACCTTGCTGCTAATTGTTTGGATTATTTACATGCGGATCTTTGGGGTCCTGAAAGGGTTAAGTCACATGGAGGGAGCAATTACTTCCTCGCCATTGTAGACGATTATAGTAGGAAGGTATGGGTATACCTTCTTAAGACTAAGGATGAAGCCTTAACCAAGTTTAAAGGCTGGAAAACTTTGGTGGAAAACCAAGTAAATGGAAAGGTTAAGGCCTTTAGGACTGATAATAGGTTGGAGTTTTGTAACTCTGACTTTGATAAATGCTGTGGCAATCAGGGGATCTTAAGGCATAGGACAGTCAGGGGAACCCCAAAGCGAAATGGGGTTGTAGAGAGAATGAATAGAACACTTCTAGAGAGGGTGAGATGCTTTTTATTCATTACTAGACTGCCAAAAGCTTTTTTGGGGGAAGCCCTAACAACTACTGACTATTTTATCAATAGAAGTCCCTTAAGCTCAATAAAGTTTAAGTGTCTAGAAGAGAGATGGTTAGGGAAGAGACCAACTCTTAACCACATAAGGGTGTTTAGGTGTGCTGCTTATGCACACACCTGAGATGGGAAATTGGAGCCGAGGTCATTAAAATGTATATTTTTAAGATACTAAGAAAGGACCAAAGGCTGTAGGCTATGGGAAAAGGATGCCCAAGGGATTAGAGTCATAATTAGCCGTAATGTAATTTTTAATAAGAATGTATTTCCATGCAAGTTTACTAACAATAATGCAGGTAGTTCAAGAAGTGACTCTAAAAATCTTGATCAAGTTGAGATTACTTAGTTTGAGGTGGAGCCAACAAGTTTTGCTAAGCATCCTGATCAATCGAAAAAGACTGAACCAGCAGATGAACCACTACAAATCAATGAAGACTAAGATGATGAAATGGGAATTGATAGAAAATATTAAAGAAGCCCAACATGATAACCTAGCCTAATACCAGTTGGCGAGAGATAGAGTCAGGAGAGAGATCAAACCTCCTGCTAGGTTTAGTTACGTAGACCTGATCTACACAACATTGGTTGCTGGTGAAGAAATCCAGAGGTCTAAGCCTGACTCCTATGAAGAGGCAATGAGTTCCAAGGACATCAATAAATGGCTTGTTGCCATGAAAGAGGAAATGGAGTCATTGAAGCTGAATAAGACTTGGTCTTTGGTCCCAAAACCAACAGACCAGAAGTTGGTGGAGTGTAAATGGCTTTACAAGTTGAAGGAAGGCATAAACATGTCAAACCCTCTAGGATACAAAGCCAAACTTGTGATGAAGGGCTTCATACAAAGGGCAGGTATTGAATTTAACGAAATCTTTTCACCTATAGTTAAATTTAAAACTATTAGGTCAATGTTGTCAATTGTTGCACATTATGATTTAGAATTAGAACAATTGGATGTTAAAACTATTTTTTTGCATGGTGAATTAGAAGAAAAGATTTTTATGAGTCAACCTATTGGTTTTAAGGATAAAAATGTGCTTGGACATGTTTACCTATTGCATAAGTCTCTTTATGGTCTTAAACAATCCTCTAGGCAGTGGTATAAGAGATTTGACTCATTCATAGTAGGAGTTAGCTTTACTAGGAGTGAGTATGACAATTGTTTCTATTTTGCTTGCATTAATAACATGCCTTTATACATGCTTTTTTATGTTGATGACATGCTATTAATATGTAAATCTAAGCCTCACATAGATGACTTGAAAGCAAAATTAAGTGCTGAGTCTGACGTGAAAGATTTAGGTTGTGCAGAGAAGATATTAGGGATGATAATTGATAGAAACAGGAGGCTAAATAGGCTAAAGCTTCACCAATTGCCATACCTACAAAAGTGACTTTTAGATTTGGAATGGTTGACTCAAAAACTGTTAACATGCTTTTAGCAGGTCACTTTGTCTTAAGTAAAACTGTAGTGTCCTAAAACAGAAGTTGAAGTGTTAAAAATGGAAAATATTTGATGCATGCCGAGTGCAACCAAAAATTAAATTACTCTACTCACAACTTGTAATCATAGTAAGTATAGGACGATCCACAGAGACTAGCTAATTAGATTACCCAACTTAATATCACAATGAATTAATGAAATAAAAAGGGGGAAATTTTACTTTGAAAATTAATTGACACAAGAGTAATTACTACTAACAGGAATTAAGTAAAGAGAATTTAATAAAAAATAATTTCAATTCAAGGAAAATTACCTACGGTTGCAAACTGATCACTGATTTCTGATATATATTATTCTTTAATTGAATATTTAACCAAAAATTATCAAGAAGCCAGACAATCTTTATCTTTCCTAAATTCATTAATCTGAGCCCAACACGCAAATTAATTCTTATCAATAAACCACTTGGCATTACGAATCCTTGTGAATTTACTGACAGCATTACGAATTAAGAAATAGTTAAAGATGAATAACAATCGAACAAGCGTCAGATTATTTAATTCATTCCAAGTTTCTTTTAAACAATCAACAAAAGCTTGGATCACAATTGTTTTGCTTAATTACTACTCTAACTGAATATTATAACAATTGCGGATTACAAATTCAGTTTAGCAATCAATCACACAATCAATCAATTAACAGGCCTCTTTAGTCAATTAAATCATGCGACCATAATAAATAAAACAAAGAAACACATGTATATGAATAGAAGAATAACTAGGATTAAGAACAAGTCTCACAATTATGCTAATCGGATTGGAGTTTCCTTGAGTCGAACTAAAGAATTTAGCCCGACATGATGAGATGAAAGGTACAAAGAAAAGGAAAAATAAAATTGCGTTCTGTCTCCAACCTCCAAAACCCTAGCAGCCTAAAAATTCTATTTTCTATCTCTAAGAAATGTATAAAAGCTTCCCTTTAAAAGCCAACTCCTAAAATTAAGGCAAATAACTAAAACCTTTTAGGAAAACACTTCTTTCTCTCTCTTCAAACCTGCCCTTAATTTGTGCAAGTGAATTCTAGCTCATGCATACGAATTTCCATTCCTCCAGACTTGTATTGAACTCCCGCTTGAAGTTGGACCAAGTCTTTATATGAACCATACAAAAACAATCCAAATCAGCTAAGGATTAAAGCTTCTAGGCTGAAGCCGTAACGTCCATGCCAGTTTTGGATAGGACAACGAGCTTTCTGGACTTTGGCCCCCTCATAAGAATTGTAGTTAAGGATGTTTACTTGAATTTGGGCTTTGAATTGTCTCATTTGAGTTTTAGAAACACCAGTGGTCGGACAAAAATCCTACTCCAATTAGGATTCGATTTCAGTTTTCAGCTCTGACTTTACACCAACAATTGGAGGCCCAAACGAAGTTGTCTTTGGACGTGCTATCCCAAATTGGAAAGCTTAAAATGTCTAACTTAACTTCATAGATGGTCTAAAAACCAAACTATAACTCCAAGTCCATCAAAAATTTGCAAACAACCTAAAACATCCAAAAGTAAAAATGCTAGAAACTTCTGATTTTAAGTATATTTTACTAACTCTTAACCACAAATGCTTTATACATAAAAATCATCACAAATAGGCACCATAAGATATTAAACATTCCAAATAAACTAAATGTAAGGATAATAAAAATATAAAATTATAAGTCTATCAATATTCCATACTCAAATACTATAGGTTCTATGATGTATGCCATGATAAGCACTAGACTTGATTTGTCATTTGCCATATTATTGTTAAGTAGGTTTATGACAAATCCAGGAATAGAACATTGGGTTGCTTTAAAATGGCTACTTATGTACATAAATAGTACTGTGCATGTTGGATTAGATTTTTGCAAGAGCAACACTTCACTTGATTTGGTTGGGTATGTAGACTCTGACTTTGTAGATGATCGAGACTTAAGGAAGTCTACAACAACCTACTACTTCACCCTAGGAGGCAACAGTCTACAACAACCACTGGTTGCACTGTCCACAACAAAAGTAGAGTATGTGGTAGTAACTGAAGCATTTAAGGAAGCAATATGGCTGCAAGGAAGCTTAAAAGAAGTAAATTTGCTGGATGGACTTGTGACTGTACATTCTGATAGTCAAAGTGCCATCCACTTGAGCAAAAAGGACGAAGCATGTGGATGTGAAGTACCACTTTGTCCGCGACCTAATCTTAAGAGGGAAACTAAATCTGATGAAAATTCCAACTAAAGAGAATCCAGCCGACATGGGAACCAATTGCAAAGTTCAAGCATTGCTTGAACCTGTTACACATCAATTGATCCAATGGAGCTGAGAAGGAGTACATGAGAAGCTTGCTGCATTGATGATTTGCTGCCTGGAGTGATGTAGGCTTCAAGGTGGAGATTGTTAATGTATGAAGCCTACAACGGTGTTGTTTTGAGCTTTAGTAACACATTGCCGTTTTGAGCTATCCCCTTTGTAATCCTGGCCCTTGATTTGTGTCTAATCCAATGGCTGAAATCACCCTTGATGGTCAACGGTATAAAAGCAGCAGTTCACCCAAATTTGCACAGTTCAATCTTTGTAATTTTTTATAGTCTTTTTACTAGGGTTCTTAATTTTTCTGATCTCTTGTGTAAATCTGGTTGTAAATCTGCTTGAAAGTTATGTTTCTTTTGAGGGTAGAGAAGCAAGAATAGATTTCTCTCAAGGGTTGTAGATTTATGGTGACAGGGGTAGAAAGATTGAGGTGTTTGAGAGTGAGTGATTGGGTGTGTGATCAAGTTTGTACTCTGTGATTCCATGGTAATAATAGTGTAGTGAGCCTCTATATTCCAGAGCTCAATCTTGAACAAGTGAACCACGGTAAAAGATCGTGTGTGTTGTTATTCTTGCTTTGATTTGTGGTTGTATGTTAGCATTAAGTCTTGATTTGGTAGACTTGATTTACAGCAAATTACATACATGATTCCCAAGAATGAAGAAACTTCTCTAATGTTCTGACAAAAACTATTGCAAAAAATTGAATTCAAATGTTAATATTAGATATTAGTGTAATAAATTGTTGGGATCATTAAATTTATTTAATATACACGATATAGAGTCATTCTCTAATCCAAACTTTTAGTGGTAAATATTAATTAAAAGATAAATTTTAATCTGCATCATATTTATTTGCATCTAAATATTAATTAAAAGATCAAATTTCAGTAAAACTTTTACCTATCCAAATCTATTAAAATTTATCTTTTTACATTTATGGTACCATTAAACAGAAACCCAGATTTCACATTCTAGAATTTTCAACATACTATATTTTTATACATCTGAAACTATACAAAAATCATGGTAACCCTTGTGCAAATTAGATTTACATAAGAGGCACATGTACAATTGTTGAATTCTTGGTACTTGCTTCCTGGAAAAAATATAATTTTCCCATCTCCTTGAATTGCACCAGCAGAATGTTAACTTCTTCGGATAGCTCCTAAGACTCAAATTTTTTCATTTCAAGTTTCCTGGAAACTTTTCCCTGAAACTTTTTTCATTTCTATGTTTCCTGAAAAGTCCCCCTGTTGTACCTCTGTTTAAATTCAAGACCAGAGACCTGCTTGAAAATTATCAGTTAAAAGATCAGGCCGTGGCTAAGTCCCTATGCATTCACGCAAAATTAGAAACTGGATGTGCCAATGAAGTTAGCCCAAAAAAAAAAAAAAAAAAAGACACCTAGCAAGTAGCTTAACTAAATTATAGCTAATAGGCTTATCATTTTTCAATTTGTCGAGAACCTATGACCATGAAAACTTTTTTTGTGGAATTAAATAAGCACAAAATAATCACGAAAATGATAAAAAAACAAAACAGAAAAAAGAATTCCCTTTAAAGTTTGATGTCCATTGACTTGAACAGATATATAACACTGAAGCAAGTTCACTCCTGATTTTCGAAAGAAAACTCAAGCTCTGCTGGCTTCTGAAGCAGCGTGGCTGTTTTCCCTTCTACCTTCTTTGCCTTACTGATCCGCCTTCTAGGAAAAACAGAGGAAAGAAAGAAACTGCTATATGTTTCACGAAAAACTGCGTTCTTTTCTATTTTTGAAGAAGATGAAAGCCAACTATTATATAGTTGCTGAAACACATCAGAAACGCAGCGTTTTGGAACATACAGCATTCTAAAAACGCTGCGTTTGAATTGTTTGGACTATTACAAAGTAAACTTCCTTTCTTTACACTATTACAGATTCAAGCCTATTTAAACCATACAGGACACCTCTTCTACACTATATTAATATTCCCTCTCAAACAGAGCTTCTCTTCAACCATCCAAAACACTTCTTCTACGTTATATCTAATATTCCCTCTCAAACATAACTTCTCTTCAACCATCCAAAACACTTCTTCTACGTTATATCTAATATTCCCTCTCAAACATAACTTCTCGTCAACCATCCAGTACAACTCTTCTCCACTTAATCTAATATTCTTCAACAAAACAAAATTCTGATCTGCTGCATTATTTTCTGCACCACCAAAACTGCATAAAATCTGCCACATTACTGCTACATCATCAATCTGATCTACTGCATTTTTTTTTTTTCCATCATCACAAATTCTGCATCAATCCAAAACACTGCATAAAAATTATGCATTAACAACACCACAACAAGAGTCTACTGAACCATTTCTGCATCATCACATCAAAGCTCCATAAAAATTTCTGCATTATCAACACCACTACAAGTAGTCTGCTGGACCATTTCTGCATCACCACATCAAGGCTGCATAAAAAATTTTGCATTAAGAACACCATCACAAGTAAAGTCAACATTTATTCTCTTATGCTCCAACAAAAATTCAGTTTCTGCAGTGTTTCTACTTCATGAAAATTTAGCATTTATTCTCCTATGCTCCAACAAGAATTCAGTTTCTGGAGTGTTTCTACTTCATTCAGATTCAGCATTACGTTCATCAGTTTCCTGATCAACTTTTTCTGCAATGTTTCTTCTGCATTCAGCTTCAGCATTACATTCATCAGTTTTCTGATCAACTTTGGCAGTGTACACAATAGGTAAGGCTGTAGTTACATTTAACTTTTCCCTTAACAAATTAAATCTTGCTCCAGATAACGGCTTGGTCAGAATATCTGCCTTTTGGTACTCTGAAGCAACAAACTGCACTGTTACAGCCTTCCTTGCAACCAGTTCTCGCACATAGTGAACATCAATTTCTATGTGCTTAGTACGTGCATGAAAAACAGGATTTGAGGAGAGAGCCCCTGCACTCATATTATCGCACCAGATCACAGGAGTACGATTACTATTAACACTCAGTTCCTGAAATAAATGCTGTATCCAAACAACTTCTGTGGCAGCTTGACTGAGTGATCTATACTCAGCTTCTGTGGATGAGAGTGATACTACTTTCTGCTTTTTGGAACTCCATTGAACAAGATTGTTACCAAGGAAGATGGCATAGCCACTAGTAAACCTGCGGTCATTAATATCACTTGCCCAGTCAGCGTCAGCATAAGCTTCCAGAGCCAGATGTGGATGTTTTGTGAACTGCAGGCCATAATTCAGAGTCCCTTGAATGTAACGCAACACCCTTTTGCATGCTACCCAATGTGTGACAGTTGGATGCTGAAGAAATTGACTTAACTTATTCACCGTGAAGGCTAAGTCAGGTCGAGACAGCGTTAGGTATTGTAATCCTCCAATAATGCTTCTATAAAAGGTAGGTTGATCAAACAACAGTATTTGGTGCTGTTATGGGTAGTATTACTTCCAGATTAATCCCCTGATGAGCTGTAAGAGTATTATCTGAGGAGGTCAGAACTGAAGGCTATATAGAGACACCAACCTCGTGTATTGGAATTGCAGTAGGTAAATATGCAGTTGTATTCTGGTTGTTAGATCTACTGGAAGGCCCTGTTCTTATATTCACATCTCTGCTAGTATCAACCAAATATTCTGTAGATAATTCTGCAGTAGCATTTGTGTCAATATTCTTATTTAGAGAAGCTTCTGTCTGACCAAGAATGAACCAGCCAGATGTTGATCTTAAAGGAACTAAAGAAGATTCTGAATTTGAAACAGAACCAGAAAAACCAGAATTTTCAGCATTAGAAAAACCAGATTTAAAGGGAAACTCTTCTTCGTTAAATTTCACCTGTTTTGCAACAAAAATTCTCCCAGACTTTGACATACACTTATAGCCTTTGTGAGACATACTATAACCTATAAATACGCACTTTTCAGTATGAAATGAGAGTTTGTGTTTGTTGTAGGGTCTAAGATATGGAAAACAACTGCATCCAAAGACTCTAAGATCACGGTAATTAGGTTCTTGTTGTATTAAAACAGTAAGAGGAGATACAAACTCAAGCACATTGGAAGGCAGTCTGTTAAGCAGATATACTGCTATAGAGAAGGCCAGCGACCAAAAATTGAGTGGCATATAAGCATGAGCTAGCAGAGAGAGTCCAAACTCAGTGATAGACCTGTGCCTTCTTTCTATTCTTCCATTCTGCTGGTGTAAATAGGGGCAGGGGTGCTTGAATATTATACCATGCTGACTAAGATACTTAGAAAATGACCGAAATTCCCCACCCCAATCAGTTTGCAGACTTTTAATCTAGTACTAAACTATTTCTCTACAAATGTGTGAAACTGAATAAACACCTCAAATGCTTCAGACTTGACTTTAAGGGGATAAATCCAAGTAAATTTGTTGAAATCATCCAAAAAGATGATGTAATAACGATACCCTTCTCTGGATAATATTGGAGCAGGCCCCCACAAATCAGAATGTACTAACTCCAACGGGGCCTTTGCTTGGGATAAAGAAGTAGGAAAACTGCATTGCTTTAACTTCCCAAACAAACAAGCTTCACAAACAGACCTTGCATTGTAATCAGAAGAATGTTTTACATGCATTTTATTTAATACAACTTGTAAAGCCTTAGCACTAGGGTGCCCAAGTCGAGCATGCCACAGTAATGAAGAAGCAGATACATCATCAAACATATTGTAAGCAGAAACTTTATTTGATACAAAAGAAGTTACGATAGACTTATTGACAACTGAAGGGAAAGATGTTTCTGGTTTATCACTGGAGAGCATTGGAGGGCCAGGTATACCACAAGAACTGGAACTGTCAGTAGGAACACCAGCAGCAGGAGAAGGAACATCCAACTGGTACAGGCCATCCTTGACTGTACCTTGAAGAAGTATCAAGTTGCTGCTTCTA